TATAGTATGGTGGAATATCTAAAACGAGTTTAATCTTGTTTAAATCATAATCACATAAAAAAATAAATCTACCACCCACAAACTGTAAGCAATGATCAAAAAACAATTTCCATCCCAAACTTTTCTCTCCATATAAAAGACGTTTTATCCACATTATGCGCTGTATTTTAACGGACATTTCAAAATTAATCATTCTTAATCCTCCAAAGTCATAATCCTGATACATTATTGCCCGTTTAATTCTATCTTTCCCCCTCCATATGAATTCAAATGAAATTTTTGCAACTTCTTTATAGACCCAATGAGGGACAATAACGAGAGATGAAATATAATTTAATTTTGAAAGCGCATAAGTTTTTAGCAAATGTATTTTACCCATAATAGTTAAATCTCTTTGTTTCCACCATACAAGCAATTTTTTTATTTTACTTAGAATTTCTTTATAATTCAAATCATCTTTTAATCTTCGATCTAATGAATAACTAACCCCTAAAATATGTATTTCCTTAACCAAATTTCCAAATAAAGGCCCATTAGGTTTGTTCTCATCCTCATCTGCACCCATCCACATAAAATGTGTCTTCGTTTTATTCACTTTAAGACCACTAATTTGTTCAAATGATTCAAAAATATTTTGCAACCTTCTAACCGAATCAATATCCTTCAAACATATTGTCATATCATCTGCATATAACACTTGCCTTATTTCAGATTTTCCAAATGTAATCCCTTTAATACCGTTGTCCCTCCTTACTGCATGCGCCAAAATTTCGATGGCAACCAAAAACAAATATGGCGATAATGGATCCCCTTGCCTTACTCCCCTTTCTATTTCAAAATACCCCGTGGAGTGACCACCGTTCATAACACAACTACTTATCCCTTTATACAATAATTTTACCCAAGAGCAAAATGAATCTCCAAAACCGAACAATTTCAATATTTGAAATAAATATCTATGAGATACAGAGTCGAAAGCTTTCTCAAAATCCACTGCACACAAAAACCCTTTCCCTTGTTCCCCATAATGCATAGAATAAAATAACATGTCATCTATCAATCGTACAGCTTCCCCAATATTTCTATCTTTTATATATCCAACTTGATCATGATGAATTATTTCATTTAAAACCTCTTTCATTCTTTTTGCTAGAACTTTAGATACAATTTTATAATCTACATTCAAAAGCGTGATGGGTCGATAATTTTTTATATGGAGAGTATCTTTCGCTTCCTTCTCAATTAAGGTAATTACCCCCTTGTTTTTGAGATGCCGTTAATTCCCCCCTTTCGTATGTTTCATTCAATACTTCTACTAACAAATCACCCAAAGCTGGCCAAAAAGTATAATAAAATTCAACTGTTAACCCATCATTTCCCGGGGTTTTATTCAATTTCATTTCTTTTAAAACTTTCAAGCATTCATCTTTAGTTAATTTACCTTCACAGATTTCCCTATTGTCTTCATTTAACTTTGAAATATCATTAAAAAAGAAAGGGTCGTTTTGATTTATATCAGCCCTTAAAGAATATAAATCTTTATAAAATAGTTTAATTTCCTTTAAAATTTCCTCCTTATCTCTAGTAGTTTCCCCATTTTCTTTGTACACCTCCCTAATTACACTTTTCCTTTTATTCGATTTTAACAACTGTTCAAAATATTGCGTATTGTTTTCTCCATCTTCAAACCAAGGTGCTCTTGATCTTATTTTAATGCCCTGTCGAGAAAAATCATACAATTTATTTAGTTTATCCCTTTTCTCCTCAATACAATCAACAATATATTTAGTGGGTCCCACTACTAGTTCGCCTTCTAAATCCTTGATTTGTTTCTCTAACAGTTCTATTTCAACCCTCCTTGCGTTTGCCTTTTTCCGCGAGTATGTTATAATAAATTCTCTCATTTTCATCTTTAAAAAATCCCAAAATACTAATTTATTCAAAATCTGTATTAATGACCATTCAGCTTTTAATTCCTGTATTTCCTTATTCATCTCTTCAACAAAATCTTTATCCATACATAAACTACTGTTAAATTTCCAATATGATTTCCCCAAAACAAACTTATCAACCAGATCATTAAATTCTAGACTAACGCCAGAATGATCTGGCGTAATAGATGTCAAAATCTCACACGTACCCACCAATTTTTCAACACTACAAGGTATAAACCAATAATCTAAACGGCTTTGCACCACCGGCCAATTTTGTCGAAAAGTAAATTGCTTTACATTCGGATTTTTTTTCCTCCATATATCTTCTAAATCGTATTTATTTAAAAATTCCTTAATCAAATCAATAACCCGAGATTTCACCGGTGTTTTTGACCCCACATAATCTAATTTTCCATCCAATATACTATTGAAATCACCTCCAAATAAAACTAAATAGTCCCGATCACACTGATCAAAAATACTTTCATCTAACTTCTTCAAAAATTCAATTTGTAAAGTTTCTTTATCTCTCGTTGGAAAATAAACATTAACCGATAGCATTTTAACCCTTTGTATTTCACCTTTAAAAATAATGTATCTCCCCTCTTCATCTACTTTAATTTTTTTTCCTTCAAAATCTAAATGATTAGAAAATAAAATAAGAACCCCTCTACTATGGTTTGACCCATGACTAAAAAAACATTGGCCCTCCCCAATCTTGTTTCCACCGCTCTTCTATCTCTACTGTACTATATGTTTCTTGTAAGAAAATTATACTATTCTTTTTAGTTTTGCACCATTCAAAAATATTCACTCTTTTTAACCTATCTCTTATTCCTCTAACATTTAATGTCATGAAAGATAATTTCACTGCCATGTTATTTTATGTGTAATTGTATCCAAAACCTTACATCGATAAACTCCAAAGAAACTTCCACATAATCTATTTCCACCGTGAGCAAATGTATAGAAAAAACTATCTGCAGCCAAACATACATGCATACTTATCGTCGAATTATATAAAAACTAGATGGAATTTTGACTGCGCGCAGTCGAAAATGATGCCTCCGCCATAGAGCAATTTAAATAATAGTGAGGTCTCTTGCTTTGCGCAATTTCTCAAGACGCGTGCCAAATTTCGAGGCAATCGGCCCCTCCCCCCCCCCCCCCCAGTCAGGGAGGTGCTCAAAATAGCCCAGTTAAGTACGGTTAAGTAACGGAACATATTTCAAGTGGTTCTTGACATATCATGACAAGTCCTATACATGTAGTCTGAAATTTTCAAGTTGACCTCTATGACCTTTGACATACATGTACTCCAAAATCTAATCTGATCGTTTTCCTATGGTGATATATATACTATCCTTAAGTTTGAAGTTTAAATCTCCAGTGGTTCTTGAGATATTATGATAACAATCTCAATGTATGGAATTTCATAAGTTGACCTCTGTGACCCTTGACCTTTGACCTACGTGCTCCAAAATCTAATCAGATCGTCTTCCTATGGTGATACATACTATCCTTAAGTTTGAAGTTTAAATCTCAAATGGTTCTTGAGATATCATGATAACAATCTCAATGTATGGAATTTCATAAGTTGACCTCTGTGACCCTTGACCTTTGACCTACGTGCTCCAAAATCTAATCAGATTGTTTTCCTATAGTGATACACACTATCACTAAGTTTGAAGTTTAAATCTCCAGTGGTTCTTGAGATATCATGATAACAATCTCAATGTATGGAATTTCATAAGTTGACCTCTGTGACCCTTGACCTTTGACATACGTGCTCCAAAATCTAATCAGATTGTTTTCCTATAGTGATACACACTATCACTAAGTTTGAAGTTTAAATCTCCAGTGGTTCTTGAGATATCATGATAACAATCTCAATGTATGGAATTTCATAAGTTGACCTCTGTGACCCTTGACCTTTGACATACGTGCTCCAAAATCTAATCAGATCGTCTTCCTATGGTGATACATACTATCCTTAAGTTTGAAGTTTAAATCTCAAATGGTTCTTGAGATATCGCGCTAACAAACTCAATACAAGGAATTTCATAAGTTGACCTCTGTGACCTGTGACCTTTGACCTACGTACTCCAAAATCTAATCAGATCGTCTTCCTATGGTGATAAATACTATTCCCGAGTCTTAAGTTTAAATCTTAAATGGTTCTTGAGATATTGTGATAACGGTCAAACGGGACGGACGTACGGACGGACGGACGGACGGACGTACGGACGGACAACCCGAAAACATGATGCCTCCGGCACCACCTTCGGTGGCGGAGGCATAAAAATGCAAGCAGAATCCACCCCGTACCCCACAACCCAACGCATTCATACACACAAGCATATTCACTACACACACAACACCCCCACACAAAACAACCCAAATCTGCTCTTCGGTGTACGTAAACATCCGAGAGCAAGAGCCTCCCCCTTTCCCTGTCAATTTAACTAGACCAATGACAGAATAAACCAATGAACATTTCTTCTTGCACAAGTCGATGAGAAATACGTTGTATTGTTATATAACCGTAATCTAATGAAACCAAAAAAAAAAAAAAAAAAAAAAAAAATACAAAGAGCTTTTATCCCTTAACAAATGCCTTGAATTGTATTACGGAACCCGCTCGTCATTACTAAGTTAAATGATTTTCCTAAAATGCATTACAGTGAATTGACCGGCCCGCGTACCTAATCACAATACGCACCTTCTAATTAAAAATAAAAAACACGATCCCAATAAACCAAATTCCCCAAACGACACCAGTTCGGCAACCTAATAAACTGTTCGTGCAAACCGAACCCATCATGCTATCATTTACCAAGTTCTATAATTTGCATAATATGCCTCACCCATGAATGAATAGACCGACTTCACGCACCTGATCATTTTGTATGCATTCCGTAAAAAAAAACTCCTAAAGGGCGTTCCCGACAACTCGAAAGAACACCAAACGTCAGCCCGACATAATGATAGGCAAGCATGCATACCGGATCCCAACACGTTCCTCCCTCTCAAAACATCACACCACCACCTGGCTTTAAAAAAAAATAGTTTTGGCTGGGTGAACAGATCGGACCATTATCCAGATACTCGAATTGTTTTCACTTTACAGAAAAAGTTTTAAATATGTATCAGTCATTTACTAAGATATGTGAATTTACATAGAATGCGTTATCGAAATAAAGCTCATTGTAATATAAAAAAAAAAAAGCCGTCGTTACCCAGATACTATGGCATTGTATAAAGGCGTTGCAATATACATCGTGAAAGAAAGCGGACGTTCAAAAGAGTTCTTCTTCTTCTTCTTCTTCCAGTATAGTACAGTCCGCCGTTGGCGTATTATCGTACCTTGTGTTTGTGTTTGTGTTTGAGTTTATGGAAAGTACCTTGCAATAAAGCTCATTGTAATACCAAGAGCCGTGTTACCCAGATATTACGTTTTGCATATATAGGCGTTACAACAAAGTACTTAAATATTGTGAAAGAGAACAGATCCCCAACAGACCAGCAAGGTTTATGGAAAGTACCTTGCAATAAAGCTCATTGTAATACCAAGAGCCGTGTTACCCAGATATTATGTTTTGCATAAATAGGCGTTACAACAAAGTACTTAAAAATCGTGAAAGAGAACAGATCCCCAACAGACCATCAATACATTTACCTCTCTATCTGAATTTACATAGACTTGCGTTATAAAATAATGAAATAGTCAATATACTGTTTAAGCATGTTTTGAGGGACATGTTTCTTCTCACTTCACGCATGCATGCTTAGGGTTGTAATACAAATCCTGCTACAATTATTTTTGTTTTCTTTTTTTTTAAATACCAAGTTATATAATTTGCATATCATGCGTCACAAAATGATAAACAAATGATGAAACACTACTGCCAATTCGAAATAGCACCAGGGAATGTATCCGGACCGGTCCCCAAGCATTTTAGCCCCCTCAATAAACAACACCACCTGGCACCATTGAAATATTTTGGAAACCTCACTCCTACACATACTTAACCCCTTTATTCCACAAGTGGCAAAGCTTAGAAAAGGGAACTGAAACCAACAGCCCTTGGCGCGACAATCTTATTAAAATATTATTATTGCTTTGGTTAGAACAATTAATGAACAAACTCTGGCAAAAAAAAAAAAAAAAAAAAAAAAATTGCCTGAAAAATCCCCCTTTTTTCTCAATGTTGTCACTTCATCTCCGATACTCAACATTTAAGGCATTATGGAGACGAAGTTGCACACAAATCAAACCTCGCCTTCCACATACCCAACAACGATGAGAAACCCGAGGCTTCGCTTTATATTTCATATACACTGAAGAAAGAAGAAAAAAAATGTGTGTGATATTAACTCTTGGTAAACGTACGATAATCTTCTCAAGTTTTGTATCATTTTTTTTAAAACTAAAGAAACGAACAGAATATGTATATATGTATATACATCCTTTTCTTCCTCCTTTTGAACACAAATTTAAAAAAAAAAATAAAAAAAAAAATAAAAAAATATGCATGTAGAAGAACCAGTGATAAACTGATTGATACTTCATAATCAATATTGGCAATATCGATATTACCAATTAGGTAATACCAATAGAATATACTTTTTTTGGTGGACAGTTGCTAAAATCGATTTAGATTTGTCATTATTGATTGACAATGACTGCTCCTTCCTGCCCACACACACACACACACGCACACACACAATATACTATCACACAACACACTCACACACTTGTACACAGAGATTTTATAAACATATTTTCCTTCTAAATTTCACCTTAAGATTTTTCTTTTGAGGCCGGCATCGTAGTCAAGCATTGCTTACGATTGCGGTCTCCTGCACGTTTTCCACAGATAGTTCGAATGATATATTGTTAATTTATAATAATATGTACTAGAATATGAAGTTCCATTGTGTAAATTATGTAAATAATATTTTGAAATTAAGTTTATATTGTTTATATATTTTGTGGTGAGGTGAAATAAATCCAGGACTCCAGGTCCCCTTGAATTTTGAAAGCAAACAATGTGGGACCCAGATAGTTAATATTCTCACGGTTAACGACAATTATTCTTATTTGTTCAACGTCTCTACAATGATTCTGAAATAAACAACATTTTTTAAATGCTAGCCTGCCTGGGAGAAGTTTCAATTGTTGTAAAGAAATGTCTGGACTGCACCTAGTAGGCTGGTTCAAATGTGTTTTTTCTGACTTCTTTTCAATAACAAGATCGAGCACGTATGCGATTTAGTGGGTGCGAACCAATATTTCTTTACAACAATGTGGTACAATTTAATGTAGCGTGAAATGGCATTCAAATTGCCAAATGATTAGAAATGATTAGAAAATAAAATAAGAACCCCTCTACTATGGTTTGACCCAAGACTAAAAAACATTGGCCCTCCCCAATCTTGTTTCCACCGCTCTTCTATCTCTACTGTCACTATGAACATGACAGACAATGAAAGCGGACAAAATATACAGTTCCTCAGGAAAACAAAGGAACATCCCTTCACTGCTATTATGTAAAAATGTGTAGAACGGGTGAATATGCATGTGACACCTGTTCTACACATTTTTACATAATAGCAGTGAAGGGATGTCCCTTTGTCTACCTGAGGAACTGTATATTTTGTCCGCTTTCATTGTCTGTCATGTTCATAGTGTGTACTATATGTTTCTTGTAAGAAAATTATACTATTCTTTTTAGTTTTGCACCATTCAAAAATATTCACTCTTTTTAACCTATCTCTTATTCCTCTAACATTTAATGTCATGAAAGATAATTTCACTGCCATGTTATTTTATGTGTAATTGTATCCAAAACCTTACATCGATAAACTCCAAAGAAACTTCCACATAATCTATTTCCACCGTGAGCAAATGTATAGAAAAAACTACCTGCAGCCAAACATACATGCATACTTATCGTCGAATTATATAAAAAAAATACAAGCAGAATCCACCCCGTACCCCACAACCCAACGCATTCATACACACAAGCATATTCACTACACACACAACACCCCCACACAAAACAACCCAAATCTGCTCTTCGGTGTACGTAAACATCCGAGAGCAAGAGCCTCCCCCTTTCCCTGTCAATTTAACTAGACCAATGACAGAATAAACCAATGAACATTTCTTCTTGCACAAGTCGATGAGAAATACGTTGTATCAGGAAGCTGTAATGAATGGAGATCCCGTCCAAGAGGCCCCTTTGAAGTCATCCGTGGCACCGCGCGTCTTTTGTTTCCCCTACCGTAATCTCCTTAATCCCCCTCCGAAACCCTACAGCTCCTTAGTGGCACTAAGTCCTCCCTTTCCACACACAGCCTAGCCCAGCGAACACGGCGGCTTTTGCTTTGCCGGCCCGTACTTGGGGTGAATAGTGATGATAACTTGACAACTTCTAGCCCTTAATCAATAAATGCGCAAACATATAACACAATTTCACTTAGTTCTTTAGGAAAATAAACCTTTTGACTACCTTCCTAGCAACGTACAAATTTCGGAAATTTTCGGGAAATGTCAATAATTAGATGAGAAAATCATGATGATGAAAACCTTTCATTCGCTCTAACTCATGATTTCCTTGGTCGATTTCGCTAGTTGAAATGGTCATGTCTTCAGTAGAGCTATCCTAGAACGGCAAAAGCATTTGATGACTAATAGAAAGTTGCATTGGTCATATGTTGTGAATTCTGTATTTTATATGTTATAGCTAAATACATCTTCACTGAACATGACTTAATTTGTCGGTGCCACGCATGGCTTCAAAGCTCGATGCTTGCATATTTTTGCAAAAGAGTGAATAGAGAACTTAGGGAAGCAGATGGCGTTGCGTAACATTTCGTACTATTTGGAATGCCAGAGAGGAACTGTGCATTGATATGGACAGCTGTTGATGGCAATGATGGCTGGAGAGGGTTACATTTCTTTTGTTAAGCCAGGTTAATCTTGAGTATTTTTCCCTCGGAAAATTCTTTCGAGACGGTATCTCCATTCATTACAGCTTCCTGGTTGTATTGTTATATAACCGTAATCTAATGAAACCAAAAAAAAAAAAAAAAAAAAAAAAAAAATACAAAGAGCTTTTATCCCTTAACAAATGCCTTGAATTGTATTACGGAACCCGCTCGTCATAACTAAGTTAAATGATTTTCCTAAAATGCATTACAGTGAATTGACCGGCCCGCGTACCTAATCACAATACGCACCTTCTAATTAAAAATAAAAAACACGATCCCAATAAACCAAATTCCCCAAACGACACCAGTTCGGCAACCTAATAAACTGTTCGTGCAAACCGAACCCATCATGCTATCATTTACCAAGTTCTATAATTTGCATAATATGCCTCACCCATGAATGAATAGACCGACTTCACGCACCTGATCATTTTGTATGCATTCCGTAAAAAAAAACTCCTAAAGGGCGTTCCCGACAACTCGAAAGAACACCACACGTCAGCCCGACATAATGATAGGCAAGCATGCATACCGGATCCCAACACGTTCCTCCCTCTCAAAACATCACACCACCACCTGGCTTTAAAAAAAAAAGTTTTGGCTGGGTGAACAGATCGGACCATTATCCAGATACTCGAATTGTTTTCACTTTACAGAAAAAGTTTTAAATATGTATCAGTCATTTACTAAGATATGTGAATTTACATAGAATGCGTTATCGAAATAAAGCTCATTGTAATATTAAAAAAAGCCGTCGTTACCCAGATACTATGGCATTGTATAAAGGCGTTGCAATATACATCGTGAAAGAAAGCGGACGTTCAAAAGAGTTCTTCTTCTTCTTCTTCCAGTATAGTACAGTCCGCCGTTGGCGTATTATCGTACCTTGTGTTTGAGTTTATGGAAAGTACCTTGCAATAAAGCTCATTGTAATACCAAGAGCCGTGTTACCCAGATATTATGTTTTGCATATATAGGTGTTACAACAAAGTACTTAAATATTGTGAAAGAGAACAGATCCCCAACAGACCAGCAAGGTTTATGGAAAGTACCTTGCAATAAAGCTCATTGTAATACCAGGAGCCGTGTTACCCAGATATTATGTTTTGCATAAATAGGCGTTACAACAAAGTACTTAAAAATCGTGAAAGAGAACAGATCCCCAACAGACCATCAATACATTTACCCCTCTATCTGAATTCACATAGACTTGCGTTATAAAATAATGAAATAGTCAATATACTGTTTAAGCATGTTTTGAGGGACATGTTTCTTCTCACTTCACGCATGCATGCTTAGGGTTGTAATACAAATCCTGCTACAATTCTTTTTGTTTTCTTTTTTTTAAATACCAAGTTATATAATTTGCATATCATGCGTCACAAAATGATAAACAAATGATGAAACACTACTGCCAATTCGAAATAGCACCAGGGAATGTATCCGGACCGGTCCCCAAGCATTTTAGCCCCCTCAATAAACAACACCACCTGGCACCATTGAAATATTTTGGAAACCTCACTCCTCATCTTCTCAAGTTTTGTATCATTTCTTTTTAAACTAAAGAAACGAACAGAATATGTATATATGTATATACATCCTTTTCTTCCTCTTTTTGAACAATAATTAAAAAAAAAAAAAAAATATGCATGTAGAAGAACCAGTGATAAACTGATTGATACTTCATAATCAATATTGGCAATATCGATATTACCAATTAGGTAATACCAATAGAATATACTTTTTTTGGTGGACAGTTGCTAAAATCGATTTAGATTTGTCATTATTGATTGACAATGACTGCTCCTTCCTGCCCACACACACACACACACGCACACACACAATATACTATCACACAACACCAGGGGCGTACGCAGGATTTTTTCAAGGGGGGGGTTTTGCTCCCGAAAATTTGAAAATCGCGCCGGCCGAAAAGTCGCTCAGTGGGGGGGGGGGGGGGGGGGGGGTAAGCGGTCACTTTTTTTTTTTTTTTTGGTCTCGAAATTTCAAAATTTGACATTTTTCTTCGTTGGGGGGGGGGTAAGGTCACCTTTTTTAGGTTAACCGTGGGTATAATTTTTTTTTTTTTTTTTTTTTTTTTTTAATAATTAAAAAAAAAAAAAAAAAAAAAAACCAAAGGGGGGGGGGGGGGTTTTTGGTTTTTTTTAGGGGGGTTTACACATATAAAAATACCAAAGGGGGGGGTTTGAACCCCCAAAACACCCCCCCTGCGTACGCCCCTGCACAACACACTCACACACTTGTACACAGAGATTTTATAAACATATTTTCCTTCTAAATTTCACCTTAAGATTTTTCTTTTGAGGCCGGCATCGTAGTCAAGCATTGCTTACGATTGCGGTCTCCTGCACGTTTTCCACAGATAGTTCGAATGATATATTGTTAATTTATAATAATATGTACTAGAATATGAAGTTCCGTTGTGTAAATTATGTAAATAATATTTTGAAATTAAGTTTATATTGTTTATATATTTTGTGGTGAGGTGAAATAAAATCCAGGACTCCAGGTCCCCTTGAATTTTGTAAGCAAACAATGTGGGACCCAGATAGTTAATATTCTCACGGTTAACGACAATTATTCTTATTTGTTCAACGTCTCTACAATGCTTCTGAAATAAACAACATTTTTTAAATGCTAGCCTGCCTGGGAGAAGTTTCAATTGTTGTAAAGAAATGTCTGGACTGCACCTAGTAGGCTGGTTCAAATGTGTTTTTTCTGACTTCTTTTCAATAACAAGATCGAGCACGTATGCGATTTAGTGGGTGCGAACCAATATTTCTTTACAACAATGTGGTACAATTTAATGTAGCGTGAAATGGCATTCAAATTGCACATACATTCATTAGTACTAGATTTAATCATTTAAGCTCAAATCTAGCAACAATCATTCGCCATTGCTACGCTCACTCTTTCATGAATCATAATCATTTTGTTTTAAGGTTGATTTCACTGATAGGAAGATTTAGCAGAGAGGGATATAAGTGAATATGTTCAAGGTTAACGAAGACGCATCATTATTCATATTTGTTCAACAAATGTCGAATATTGTGAAGACAATAAACAGCACTTTGGTACTATTTTTTATGTAGCGTTACATGCCATCCATTCGGTTTGAACACTGGGCCATACCCTCTCTGCATCTCTCCCTCTCTGTCTCCCTCTCGTTCTCTTGCTCTGTCTTGCTCTGTCTCTACCTCTCTCTCTTGATCTCACTTTATTCTCATTTTATCATCGTCTCTTACTCGAGTTACGCTCGTTTCATGACCTTTAATCAATTTTCTTTCATTTCCTTGTTTACGACATAATAATAAATTGAACCCCGCCCCCTCCCCCCCCCCCCACTCATCAAAACGACCGAGTTCATTTCCTACACTTCAAAGTTTGCTGTTCTTACCTTCGTATTTTGAAGTCCGAAAGAAAGTTCACCTCCTCCTGGGGTCTAAATGGCTACCATCCAAAGTAAACCGAACCTGACTGCACGAATGCCTTCACAAAGCCAACGATAGGCATGATTAACGTCGCGCAAGATGAGCAAATAGAGGGGGATGTATTGATCCCTTGTCACTGCATGATGCAGATTTATTGACAAAAGATAACGATTGGCATAACTTGGCAGCCCGCTTCACCCATGTACACTCATTATCGCTTCGTCGCCATTTTGAAAGAGCAGACAGGGGCGTCGCTAGACCTTTTTCAGTGGGGGGTGTAGAGGCCAACGATAACCGACAAAACTAGCGACCAATTACCGACAAAATTAAATGTCCAATATCTACAAATTTAACCCTATAAACCCGGGGCCGAAGGCTAAATTGTTTTTCCTATGGACTATCTATAGTACTTGCATATGCGCAAATGGTCATTTTCCTCGACGACATAAATATACGAATTATTTCGTCAACTTAGTCAGCATCATAGCTGATATATTTTAATGCAGGCGCGGAGCTAGGATCTTATTTTAGGGAGGGCGGTAGTGAGCAAGCGAATCACTTAAAGAGCGCTCATCAGGGGGTGTGGGTGATAGGCCTCTAAATTATTAGGAAAAGAAGACGATTTAATGTACCTTTCTCGACTCTTAATCCTTGTCTAAATGAAGTTTCCTTCCCCCCCTCCCCCTCCCGCACGAAGCGCGAAAGCTTTGACGTTTCATTAAATTATTTTGAAAAGAAGACGATTCGTTGAACCTTGCTCGACTCTAAATCCTCGTCTGAATGAAGCTTCATTAAATTATTAGAGAAAGATGACGATTCGTTGTACTGTTCTCGACTCGTCTCAATGAAGTTTTCTCCCTTCGCGCGAAGCGCGGATTTTTTTTGGGGGGCGTTTTATCACAATATATAAAGACGATTCGTCGTACCGTTTTCGACTCTTATTACTCCTTATTCATCTGAATTCAGTTTCCCCCTCTCGCGCGAAAGCTTTGACGTTTCATTAAATTATTAGAGAAAGAAGACGATTCGTTTGTACCGTTTTCGACTCTTAATAAGCCCTATTTGGTGTACTGTTTTCGACTCTTAATTCTTATCTGAATTTAGTTGTCCCCTTTCGCGCGAAGCGCGTAGGTTTTGACGTTTCCTTAAATTATTAGAGAAAGTAGACGATTCGTTGAACCGTGCTCGACTCTTAATCCTTGTCTGAATAAAGCTTCCCCCTCCCGCGCGAAGCGCGGAAGTTATGACGTTTCATTAAATTATTAGAGAAAGAAGACGATTCGTTGTACCGTTTTCGACTCTTAATAAGCCCTATTTGTCTGAATTCAGTTTCCCCCTTTAGCGCGAAGCGCGGAAGCTTTGACGTTTCCTTAAAATATATTAGAGAAAGAAGACGATTCGTTGTACCGTTCTCGACTCGGCTAAATGAAGTTTTCCTCTTCCGCGCGAAGCGCTGATTATTTTTTTGGCGTTTCATCACAATATAGAGAAAAGAAGACGATTCGTCGTACCGTTGTTGACTCTTGAACCTTGTTTGAATTTAGTTTCCCCGAAAATTTTAAACCTCTGATTTCTTTAGCTGATAATATAGGAAAGTGAAACTTCGAGAAAATACAAGTATTGTAGTTGTAGTCACTCTCGAAGTCGTCACAGCGGATAAAAAGTCACAGTTCGTAGGGAAAAAAAACTTGTCGGCCGACCGACAATATACATCTCACCGACTTCAAACTTCTGCATTGATATAGTACACGAGGATCGAGCAAGAATACCGACACAGCTGGCCCGACATAGCAACATATTTACCCGTGTCTTTCTTGCTCCCTCGACGAGACGACTCCACCCAACAACCCCCTTCTCTCTTTTACTCCCACTCCTCCTCTCTCAGGCTCTTACCTCTCCTCTCTCTCCTCTCTTTCACCCCCGTTTCTTTTGTTTCCTTTTTTAATCTTTTTTCTTCTTTTTTTCCCCTTTTCTTTCTTTTCCTTTCTTTCCTCTCCTTCCTCTTTTTCTTTTTTCTCTTTCTTTCTTCTCTTTTCTTTCCTTTCTTTTCCTTTCTTTCCTTTCTTTTCCTTTCTTTCTTCTCTTTTTCTTTTCTTTTTTCTTTTCTTTCCCTTTCCCTCTCTTTTTTTCCCTCCCCCTTTTCTCTTTTTCCCGACGGCAGCGCAATTTTACCGACAATATCGTGACAGGTGGGGGGTGTCGCACCCCCCCCCCACACCCCCCCCCCTTTGGCGACGCCCCTGAGAGCAGAGTGATATGTATCCTTAAGAAGGATGGGCCCCGAGGGAGAAAACATAAGAAAAATACTAATAATAGACATTTCTAAAGCGTCGTCTTTCTATGGATTCTATTCCGAGGCGCGTTAGTATTACACCGGCTCTAGCCTAGCTGTCATTACAGCGCTCTAGCATTTCAAGGAATTAATTCCTGGCCAGGTACCCATTTAACTCACCTGGGTCGAGTGTGGCAAATGAATATTAATGCCTCGCTAAAGGACATTAGTGCCGTATAGGGGATCGAACCACGACCTTTGAATTTTTATAGTCAAGTGCTTAAACTACTCGACTACGACACTTCTACCTTATCCTCCCCGGATGACCTCTTCCGAGTGCTAGAATGGGATGAGGAGAAACTGCTGAAGTCTGACCTATTCCTTGAGTTGGAGGCCTAGGACAGTGCCGACCCTCTTCGGAAAGAATGTTCGTCACTATTATATCTGTAGCCTCAACGTCAATGGACTTCAAAGTAAATTCAATGCTGGCATTCTGGACTTCATTTTGAAAGATAACAGCATCATTTGATTATCAGAAACTATAACACACGCTTCTGATTTATACTGCACTTAACTTTCAAATTTGCATAGTTGTATATTATAAATGGAAAGTGATAATGGAATGTTAAGTGGTTAACACGGTCTTTGCGTTTTGGTGCGTGATGACTTATTCCCATATACACAACAAGAATGTTGGGTACTGCTTCCGAGTCTGTTTTGTGGATTTATATTGATAAGAAGTAGGCCCTATTTAGGATTTTATTTTATATTAGGTGCTGATTTCTTGACTCGGGACCTGGTAAATTTGAAATGCAAATATGATTTCAAGAACAACTGGGCCCTGTATTACAAAGAGTTGATATCAATCGCAACTTATTTGTGATTGATATCAATCACAACTATGTACATAAGAGATGGGAGACTGCAAACTTGTGATTGATTTAGGGACTTGATATTGATTCGGATCAATATCAACTCTTTGTAAGACGGGGCCCTGGTCTACTCAGGCGCGTACGCATGGGGGGGGGGGGGGACTAATCCCGATAATTGCAACTGCGGGCTGATGAAGCCGCATATTATTAGCTGGATAATTTTCAATCGGGATAGTTTAAATAGCGTTAGGGTTTATTTGGCAATCTCGAGCTGATGAAGCCAGGCCTATGGTTTGTCTTACAATGACTATGAACCTTTGACCTTCGATCTTTAACAGGAATAAATCTGACGCTACGATGGAGCTACAACAGCGGCACTACCTGGGCTGGGTCCCTCTCTGTCTGGCCTAAAGACAGTGGCTACAGCACCATGACGGCAATACCCAATAACCTTCAAGATAGCAAGTATATCTACATCTTGTATGAGAAGGGACTTGTATCATCAACTCAGTTCCTCTTGCTGGTGAAAGTCAGTTAGGGGTTTAAAGTGGGTTAAAGTGACAAACTTGCTGATAACCAATCAGAAGCAAGGATTTTACTAGCTTAACTGATGACAAGTTTTGTGAAATGGGGCCCTGGTCATGCTCTATCTACCACCGATATAGAAATACCACCCGTCTATAAAGACCACCTTTTTTTCTTTTTTCTTTTTTTTCCAGATGAGCAGTACATGTTAAACATTGAAATGTAAATTACTACTTGTCAATAAAGGCCGCTTCCCTCATCTCTCTTCAGCGATTGGTCTTTATATACAGGGTTATTTAGTTAAATACGATCCTAATCATTTATACCAGAAAGGGAGGGTCTGATATAGAAATTCATGTAGCGTTTGGTACTTTGGTTTTAGCCTTGATTAATTTATTTATTTTTTATTATATATTTATTTTCTTGCTTTAATTAATGATTGAATATTTATATTGAATGTAAACAGTACTACCGTTGCAAGGGTTTTCGCTTCATCTAATTTGTATTGAATCACTTAGAATTGTTCTGCAAACTTTTACATTTAAATACTTGTGCATTTACATGTAAGAACAATCAATCATATGGTTTTCCTCAATTTCATAAGTATGTTAATGTGAACTAACTAGGTTGGTATTGTACATTGAGCATTGTGGCTGTTTATTTGGAAATATTGAAGCATTATACAGTATACAATTATATCCATGTTCTTTTTATGCAGTTACACTCAAATGTACAAATAAATTATGTTGATTGGGAGGGTGGCATAGTTCAATGAAATGATCTTCTAGTGACCTTCTGTTTTGATAGTTTAGATGTTATACAGATTTAGTACATGTTCACATATATGTTTATTGTAGCCTGGCTATTAAAAGTATGTATTCAATAATTATCTTTTAAATCAAATTTAGTTATTCTTGTATAAACTGTTTGACTGGATTGAGGTTGTGCAATTGAGCTTGATTTTTTTTTTTTTTTTTTAATCGTTTACAAATCTCATTTTCTATGTTTCTATTAGAAATCACTATTTTCAAATATAATCTCATGAAATTTGGAACGATGTTTTGTTTTGAAGCTTTGAAGTTCCCTACACAAAGTAGTGTGTGTGTGTGTGTTTTAAAGAAAAAAATGAACATGTCTCTAGGTTGTGCAATTGAGCTTGATTTTTTTTATATTTTTTTTAATCGTTTACAAATCTCATTTTCTATGTTTCTATTAGAAATCACTATTTTCAAATATAATCTCATGAAATTTGGAACGATGTTTTGTTTTGAAGCTTTGAAGTTCCCTACACAAAGTAGTGTGTGTGTGTTTTAAAGAAAAAAATGAACATGTCTCTATGATATAATTAGGGCACAGATTGAGAAATCATCTTCTTTAAAATAAATGGAAATTTATTTAATGTTTCACAAAACAGGTTTAGAGTAGCTTTTAAAGGGAAATCATAGATTTTACAATTTTGATCTTCCAACTATAAAAGAACCAATTGAAAATGAT